TAGAATCCCCCAGTGAGGGGCTGGGGGCGTGGCTCAGTGGTAGAGCCCCTGCCTAGAATCCCCCAGTGAGGATTCTAGGGGCTGGCTGGGGTCTTGCATGGCTCAGTGGTAGAGCAACTGCTTAGATCCTGTGAGTGAAGGGCTGGGGGTGTGTGTGGCCTTGTGGTACAGTGTTTGCGAACCACACCCCTTGGATTTGGGTTTCAATCTCCAATACGGAAAAAAAAGAAAACAAACACATAAATTGCCGATGTAGGGGCTCGTTGCTTTTATCCCAGCTCTCAAACGCAGGGGCGGCGGATCAGGGGTGTAAGCAGACAGATCTCTGAGTTCAAGGCCTGCTTGGTCTACATAGCAAGTTCCAGGCCAGTCAGAGCTACAGCGAGATCCTGTCTCAAAAACAAAACAACAACCAACCAACCAACCAACCAACCAAACAAACAAACAAAAAGGGGCAAAATACCAAGCCTAAGACCTCAAGGGGCCGCTCTTAGATTCTAAGGAGTAGGGCGTCCCTTGGGGTCTTCCTGAACCCAGGGCTTCGACTGGTCCGGCACTGGAAGGGGCAGGGTCTCGCCTAGAGAGCGGATCCTGAGGCCAGGGGGGCGGGACAGACTTCCCGGGGGCGGGGCCTCCGCGGCAGGGGGCGGGGCGTCCCGGGCTCACCTGCAGCGCAGAGGCGGTGCATGCGTAGGTAGCTGATTGTGAGGCGCATGATGGAGGCCTTGTCCAGATGCGCGCTGACGCCGCGCGCAAAGGGCAGAGTGTGCGCCAGCTGGTACAGCACCTCCGTCTCCTGGCTGCGCCGACTGCGGGCCGCATCCCGCGACTTCTCCTTCCGCAGCTCGGTGCTCGACCTGTGGAAAGGAAATGACACGCGACAGGTCGCACGTGGGACACCTCCGCTTGGTGTTCCGGCGACCTCTCTTAGGCCTGGCAGTTTCTCCCCGTGGATCCTCTTTCCTTACCCCAAATTTTACCTGTCTTGGTCCCAGTCCATGTGACACTCCCTGCGGGGGCCTTGCTCCAAGCTTCTACCCCAGGATGTGTGCCTAAAGCCCTCCGTCCTCTCCGGGACTTAGCTGTAGCTCATTTCCCGAGTCAGAGACACCGCCTGGGGGACTGGGAGGCCTCCCAGTGGGAGGGGGTGGTAGAGCTGGCTGGAGTCCAAGGGAGAGATGGAGCTCTGAGAGCCCCAGCCTCCCAGGCCCCTTCCCTCCCCGTTTCCCGTCTTCAGACAAGCTGATTCTCAAAGTCAGAGATATCTCAAAGTCTTAACGATACACCGAAGGGGCCTTAAGAGGGGCAGGGCCCCACTAAGGGTGACACAGCAAAACAACCCCTGTGTTCTGTACAGCACCTCTACACTTTAATACATTTCAAATGCCTGACTTTTCTGAGGATGTGTGTGTGTGTGTGTGTGTGTGTGTGTATGTGTGTCTGTCTGTCTGTCTGAGAGAGATCTTTCATCAGTAATATCAATAACTATCAATTACCCATTTTTATTATTAGGTTATTTTCCCCGCCAAGTGGTAAACCCACTTAAAACTCCGGGCATAGCAGCACATGCCTTTAATCCCAGCACTTAGGAGGCAGATTTCTGAATTCCAGATCAGCCTAATCTACACAAATCAGGTTCAGGCCAGTCAGAGTTATTTAGTGAGACCCTGCCTCAAGAAACAAGCAACCAACCAAAAAGAACCTCAAACTTTGTTTATCTGATACCGAAGTCTATTCGACAGGGTTTCCCTATGTAGCTCAGGCTGGTCACAAACAGCCACTAAGATTATAGGTATGCACCTGTAGACACTTGACATTTCTTTTGTGTGTATGTGTGTTTTTTATGTATATTTATCTAGTCTCATAGTTATTATTAGTGCTGCTTACAATATTTCTAACCCATAAGACAGCAGTTGATCAGCCTATGTGTTTGTCATATGTAAGTATACATCTGGCCCTCGGGGGAGACCAAAGGGGATATTATTGTTATTAATATTTATGTTTATGTATTTATTTATTTGTTTTTTTTTCGAGACAGGGGTTTTCTGCGTGGCCCTGTCTGTCCTGGAACTGGCTCTGTAGGCCTGGCTGGCCTCGAACTCAGAGATCTTCTGCCTCCTGAGAGCTGGGACTAAAGGTGTGAGCCACTGCATCCAGTTATTATTTGAGACAGGGTCTCACTAGCCCAAGCCAAGAATGACCCTAGGTTTCTGATCTTGAATACTGGGATTACAAATCTATAAGCATGTCACCAGGCCTGGCCTCAATGGGACGCATTTGAACCCACTTTACGAAGGGGAAACTGAGGCTCTGAAAGGTAAAGTCATTTGTCCAAGAGTCCAAAAGATCACATAACCAGTGCTTGGCTGAGTCCAGACAGTGAGGTTCCTATTTTCAAGCTTTTCTCTAAGCAGCCCATGTGATGCCCACCCCCTACCCCGTACCCCCAGAAAGCCTGCTGTGGGATAGGAAGGAGTCTGCTCTTTCGTAGAAGTCTTCAATTCGGGGCTGAGAGGCCACTTCTGGGGGGTAGGAGGGCTACAAAATGTTTTAGCCTGGGTGCGGAGGTGGGGTGGGGGAGCTATTAGTGCAAGGCGGTGAGAGGCCCGGAAGGGGGCAGGCTGGCCTAGTTAGCATTGGAGGAGCCAAGGGGGCGCCCCTATGAACTCCCTCTTGGCTGGTGGGGGCAGGGGCCTCAGTCCTGCCTGCCCAGAGGACATTCCGTCCTGTACTGTACTGTTCCAGCCCTGTTTGTCTTCCTGCCCAGAGGGTGGGGGTGGGCGGGCCTCACTGAGCTGGGGGCCCTGGGACAGAGAGAACTGGGAGAGAGTAGGGGAGTGGGGTGGGGGTGGGGCCGGCGCCCCACCTCCCAAGCAGCTGAGCTCTGTAATCCTACCCTCCATGGCTAGGGTGGCAGGGTTTGTTCCTCCATAGAAGGAGCCAGCTGGTGGCTGTAGAGGGACCCTCCTTCCCCTCTCAGCCTGTTCTCCGGATGTTCTGACAGGAAGTATGGGCCTCTCACTGACTGTTTCTGGCCTTTCTGTGAAACAGAGTGGAGGCTGCCTCTTCTGGGTCGGGGTTCCAGTTCTGACCCCACTACTCCCGTTGCTTGTTAGCTGATTGACTCTGGGCAGGTTGCTTAACCTCCCTGGGCACAGTAATAGCCTCCAGCTCTTCAAAGGGTGTTCTTTTTTTTTTTTTTTTTTTTTGTTTGTTTAGGTTTGTGGGTATGTGAGATGAGGCTGGGAGACAAAGTCTCACCGGGTAGCTCAGATATGCCCCAAACTCATGATCCTCCTGCCTCAGCCCCTTCCCTGAGTGCTAGGCTTACAGGACTGCATCACCATGATGGATTCCTACAGTGGATTGAAGATTAAATGAGTTAATATATGTCAGAGGCTTAGGAAGCGAGGCTTGGCAATTGGCTGGTGTCAGTGACGAAGGCTCTCGTCTGAGTCTCTGGTACCTGGAATAACCTATGGGCCTCTGAATGTGCAATTATACATGTGCAACTAGTCATGCCTGCAAATGTGTGTGTCTGATTATGAGTGTGTAATCATGTGCCCAGCTTTCACACAAACATCTTAAAGGGATGAAATAACCGTGGTGGTGTGCTACACACTCAGAAACTAGAGACTCCCCCTTTCCCACCTTCCAGCAACCTCGTGGACCAGAAGTGATTATCTCCCTTTTGAGAAAGTAGGAACACGGCCAAGCTTGACCACTTGAGTGTGATTCCTGGAACCCACACGGTGGAGGAGAGAACTGACCTCTGACCTTCACATACTCAAAGGCAAACATGCACACCCCCTCCCCTATACACACACGTACAGAAATAAAGTGATTTTTTTTTTTTTAAAGATAGAAACGACCTGAGATGTTTGTAGTTCAGTTGGAGGAGCATTGGCCTAGCAGAGCTACATGCACAGGATGTGGTAATTCTTATCACTAAGGAGGTGGGAACAGAAGAAGCAGGTTAGCTGTCTCAGACAGAGGTTGAGGCCCAGAGCAATGACAGGGCTGGCCTGAGTGGCTCATCTCCAATCCAGTCTGCCTTGCTCAGTTGCCTCTCCGGTAAGCTTTATTCCCACTGTGCACCCACTATTACCTTCCTGCTTAGGAAGCCACCTCAGACAGGTGACAGAAATTGCCTGAGGCCACACAATGATCCCTAGGAGAGAGAGTCAGGTCTGTTGACTTCAGGCACCTCATTTTGTGTGTGTGGTGTAGTGTGTGCGTGCGTGTGCGTGCGTGCGTGTGTGTGTGTGTGTGTGTGTGTGGTGTAGTGTGAGTGTGTGTGTGTTGGGGGAGAAGTCTGTTTCCTCACTGGGAGAGTTCTGACTCCCATTATCTCAGACTTGGAGCTGCCACTCTGGGAGGGAAATCCCTGGGCCAAGATCACACAGCCAGAAAGTGGGAGCTTGGGGATTTGAACCCTGACTTTAGGGCCTGTGTTCTAACATGCTATTTTTCAAGAGGGTGCGCCCACCACCCAAGGGACCCCTGTCTGTTCCTTTCTGCCTGGTGGTCTAAGTCTTTTCCTCCTGTCCCAGCACCGCTGTGCATCTCCCTAGCTGGCCCAGCTCTGGTCCAACCCCTTGGCAGTGTGCCCAGCCTGGGACGTGCGCCTGGAACGTTGCCACCTTCACTCTGTGTTCTAGCTGAGAACAGAGGGCGGGGCCTAGGGGCCCAGAGTGAGGCCTGGGAAGGGGGACTTGGGGCCCAGTGGTGTCTCAGCCAAGACAGAAAAGGCCCCATCTCTTCCTCACCCTGAACAGCTCAGGGAATTAAGACAGCCCCTCTCCTCACATTCTGAGCCTCTCTGACTCTTAGCTGGGTACTGGGGGGCTTGCAAAGACTGTAGAGGGTTTGAGGTGTGGAGAAGGCTTTTTTACATCTGGGCAGAGACCCCTTTGAAGGTGACCTGAGTGACCAGGGGACAAGGTTTGGGTTGGAGAAAGGACTTGGGGTAGGGGTCAGTGGGGAGTCTCTCTGACCTTGATCCAACTTGTTCTCATAGTGTCATCGGTGGGGTGTCTAGCCATCAGTCCTGTTTTTCCAGGAACCCCTGCTTTCAGGTGGGCACTCAGGGCGGTGCACTCATTCTTGATCTCCTATAACTACTCCCCACAAAGAGTAAGAGGGCTAGGAGGCAGAAGCTAGAAGAAAAAAGGGGGCACACGGCGCCGGAGGTAACCACTCACCCTCACCCAAGCCCCCTCTGATGTCAAGTGCCATCCCAGGGATGCAGGAGGGGCCCGGAGCTCAGCCGTGAGGCGGATGCGAGTTATGAATGGGTGTGCGGTGGTGTGCGATGACACCACAGGAAAGGGTTGGCCTTGGGTGCTGACGGGGGCTGGGGGGGGAACACCCTAGTTCAGTTAGGAGAGGCCCCTCACACAACCGTAAGGGGGCGCTGTCACGGCTTAGGAGTGGAGATTGAGTTCCCTGGTGGGCTCAGGGCCAGAAGTTGGAATAGATGGGCCATACAGGACCAGAAAAGGGGGAGCCTGGGTGGGTTGAGGTAGGGGGTAAAACTGGGTGTAGAGAAACCAATCAGACCTAGTATGCCAGAGAGGAGGAACAGGGTTGGGGCTTGAGGGATGCCCTAGTTTAGACAGGGAATGCCAAGAGTCTATGGAGTTTTTCTGGGGTCTCCTGTAGCAACCTGGTCAAATGGGTCCCACAGCCTCTGCACCTGTTGCAAGGTGAACACAGAATCCACTCCTCTTTAGGACAACCCCAGCTATGTGCAGTCACAGGAGGGCGCTGTCTCCCTCCCTCTATCAGCCAAGGCATCTTTCTGAAGGATGTCCCTCAAATAGGGCTTGGGTGGGGCCCTCCTCCCTCAGTTACAGACTGGGTCTGGGCAGATGAAATAGACACAGAGCCAGGCTGTGGGAAGTGGCTCAGGTTTGTTCCGTTGGTACTGAAAAGGGGTGACCCTACTTTTTTCATGCTGTTTTTTTTGAGACAAGATCTCTCTTTCTGTAGACCAAAGCTGGTCTGGAACTTGCCGTGTAGGCCAGGCTGGCTTTGAAAGCATCATTTCCCTACAACTTTCCAAGTGCTGGGTTTACAGGCATGAATCTCCTTCCCTAGCTATCATTCCACTTTTTGAAAGGAAAAAAAGCCCCTAGTTGGATCCCACACAGCCTCTAATCACACACACACACACACACACACACACACACACACACACACACTTTCTAGGGCAATTTGAAGCTTTGGGAGACTGTTAGAAAGGGCATGGTAAAAGTAACCTCTCTTCTGGAATTCAGAAGTAGAGTCAGGAACTCCCTAGAAACTTGAGTTTGGGGATCCCTTTTTAATACACAAGAGTTAGACTGCCAAGAAAGACTCGTTTCAGGGACTTGGAGGAAAAGGCTCTCTTGGAAGAGAGGCCATTGCTCAAACGCGACCACCTCCAATCCATAAGGAACTTGGAAGTTTCACCCCCAGATGGAGGATCGAACCCGATGTATCAGAAAATCGCAGCTCATAACCCCAAAGCCGGTCCAGGGGAGGGGGGCGGGACAGCTGGAGCTCTGGGGTTAAACCCCAGATACCCTGCAACCCTCTAGAGTGGAGGGTGCATCGGGGATGTGCCCCCAACCATGCTCCTCAGGGTGTACTTAACTTGTGCCACACCCCAGAGATGAGGGGTTCCCCTAAACCCCTGCCAAGGAGAGCCCCCAGTCCCCATCGTCCTGTCCCCAAAGCCCTGTACCTCACACGCTGCAGCCCCAACGCCATGGCTCGCCCTTCGCGGTTCCAGAGCCCTCGATGCCCAGCGTCCCCCTCCCCTGTCCGTGTGAGCCCCCTCCCCAAGCTCCACCTCTGCCACTCCATTGGCTCGTCTTTGCCCAGCCCGCGGCTCTGATTGGAAGGTGGGCTTGTTACTCCGAGGAGGAGGAGGGTCTAAAGGAGAAGACTTGGAACTTCAAGGGGTGGGGGAATCCAATGTAATGCACACCCCCAGCCACGCCCCTGCCCCAGACTTCCTTGGCAGTCCGGAGCCCGCCGGGCGTGATTTCCCTCCAGTCTCTGAACTCCCATATGTACACTTCTGAACCATCTGATTGACTGTTCTCTGCGTCCCAGCTCCTGTCGCAGTCTCTCCCTCCACTCCCACTCCTTCCATCCCTCCCTCCTCTTTTCCCTCTGTCCTTTTCTTGACGTACCAAGTCCCCGCTTCTCTCCACCCCGAGCTCTCTACTGCACCTGTATGCCACAACCCCTTGCTTTTCCATACCCCATGCCCCTCCACTGTGTGGCCCCGCTGTGGACCCCGCCTCCCCGAACCTTCCTTGTCCACCCCTCCCACCCCACCTTGACCCATGGCCTCTCTTAACTCCCTGTGCAGGTTCCTGCGGATGAATAATTAAGCTTCTGTCAAGTAAATATGCTTTAGCTCCATCACACCCACTTGTAAAGGGAACAGAGAACCGATGAGATACGTGCGCAGTGACCACGGACAGGTGGAACGCGGTACAGCTGGGTAAGGAAAAGGAAGGAAGTTCCTGCGTAGGCTGGAGAGGGCGTGGGACACTAAGGGACAGGGGTGAAGGAGCAGTGTTCCTTCCGCATGTAGGTTCGGGCACACTACACTGCGGCAGAAATGGATGTACTGTTTTTGAGTTATTGGGCAAGCTCCATCTTAGGACTTTGACACTTACTGCGCGCTTTGCTCTTTGGGGTGCTCTTCTTCTAGGCTAGAGGGTTGGCTCCAGGGTTAAAGGTCCTTGCTGCCAACCCTGAAGATCAGCGTTCAATCTCCAGGACCCACATCTTGGAAAACGAGAACCAACTCCAGAAAGTTGTTCTTTGATTTATCTGAGTGTGTGTGTGTGCGTGCGCACACACACAAAATGTAATAAAAAAAACTTTAAAAAATTCTCCTCTAAAAATTCACCTGGGTCGCAACCTCAACCCAGGAAAAACACTAAGCTGCCTCCTCTCACTGTCTTCTCTTCTCCATCTTCCTTCTCTTCTCCTTCCTCCACCCTCTTCTTCCTTCCTCCTCTTCTCCGTTTTTTGAGACGAGGTCTCATGTAACCCCATCAAGGCTGGCATTGAACTCACTATATAGCAAAAGCTGGCTTTGAACTTCTATACTCCTGCCTTCACCTTCCAAGTGGGTTACAGCTGTGTACTACCACGCCCAGCTCCCATGCAATTTAGTTTCACTTGATTTTATTTGAACAAAGCTGACTATATCCATGCTATCAGCAACTCCAGGGAAGAAGACAAAATCCAGACAGAGTCAATCATTGTAGGATTTCCTTGGCCACAGTGACCTCTGGCTTGGGGAAGACATATGAATCAATCTAGTACAGTGAAGACTAACTTTGAGGACTTTGCTGTAACTGTCAGGAGAGGGTTTATTTATTTATCGATTGATTGATTGTTTTATTGTGTTTGTATCATAGAGGATTGAATTTAGGACCCAACTCAACAAGAGTCATATCCCCAGCCCTACACTGTAGTATTGAGATTCTAGGCAGACGCTTTACCACTGAGCCATGCCCCCAGCCCCTCACTGGGGGATTCTAGGCAGGGCTCTACTACTGAGCCACGCCCCCAGCCCCTCACTGGGGGATTCTAGGCAGGGGCTCTACCACTGAGCCACATCCCCCCAGACCCTCACCGGGGGATTCTAGGCAGGTGCTCTACCACCAAGTCTGGGCTCCATTTTTTTTTTAAAGCAATCTAGCTCACAGAGCAGCTACCCTATGTGTATATTATATTTCACAATAATAAAAATAATTTGACAGTAATTGTCATTGAGGAGTGCTGAGTTAACTGGAGGTCAGAACTAAAGCAGAGAGCTGGGATCCTCAGATAGAATTTGCAGGTACTTGAAGGGAGCACTCTGAAGTGTTTTCAGTGCTCTTTCTCCCCAACCCCCATTGATCTCCAAGGGCAAAGCTGTTTTTATAACACTAGTAAGATGCTCTTGCCACACTCTTCTCCCTGTGTACACTGACAGTTTCCGGTGGTCATGGATATGTGATAAGAGACTTGCTCTGATGTTGAGGGCTCTGTTATATTTTATTATTATAAATTTATTTTTAAAATAATTCCATACAATGGATTAGCATCAAACTCATTCCCTTTCAGCTTTTCTTTTGATTTCTTTCCTTCCTTCCTTCCTTTCTTTCTTTCTTTCTTTCTTTCTTTCTTTCTTTCTTTCTTTCTTCCTTTCTCTTCTTTTTTGATTTTTGAGACAGTGTCTCTGTGTAGACCTGGCTGTCCTGGAACTCACTCTGTAGACCAGGCTGGCCTGGAACTCAGAGATCCGCCTGCCTCTGCCTCCCGAGTGCTGGGATTAAAGGCGTGCGCCACCACCACTCAGCTTCCCTTTAACTTCTCTTATCCTTCCTTGCTCTTGCTGACTTCTCTCCCTTTCCCAACGAGTCCCCTTCCTGCTTTCGTGTCTTTTGGGGGTACCTGGGGGCAGGTCTTGTGCAGGTAGCTGTGGTTGCTGTGTGTCCATGATTGCAATAGCCGTGTCATACTCAGAAAACAGCATTTTGGGGCTCTCTTCCCTGTCTTCTGGTTCTTACAGCATTTCGATCACACCCTTACCTTTGGTGATAGAGATGTCTTGTTTAGGTCTGAGCACTAAACATTCCTTTATTCTCAGCTATTTGACCATTTATGAGTTTCTCCTTTAACTGTTGCCTGCATCGAGAAGAGACTTATCCAGCCAAGGCTGAGAGCTGCATTAGTCCGTGGATATAAACGGAAACGTTTAGAAGGCAGTTTGACTACATGTTTATTTCGGGAAAACATCAGTAGTAAATTCTCCCATAGGACCCATGACCCCTTAGCTATAAATTTTTGGCCAGACGTATAGTGCCATGTATGAATCCCACGGTTAGATTGGGCATCAGATCCAAGGAGAAAGCGGTTGCGTACACCGGGAACATTCATGGCGCTACCACAGCGCTGCACATGCTTTGCCTTGTGGGGCAGAATCATAGCAAACAGGGCTCAGAGCTGAGTGAGATCATTGGTACCCCCCCCCCCCCCCAGCATCCTGCACAGCACCTTCCAGCAGCACTATGAACTCTAGCCTGCAGGAAGGAAGCTTCCAGGTCACGTCCAGCTTGATTTCTCTGTGTCTTCTGCAGCAGGGTTTTATTGTCTAGTTCTCGTGGGTGGCTAATGACAAGCCTCTATCATGTTTGGAGCTTTTAGGGGCTCCACAGCCAACAGCTCCTAGAGAGGTATCCTGCACCTGGCATGGGGCTTTTCATTAAAAACCCCGTGACTTTTGGGAGCAGCATGGTCCACCATGCAGGGCATCTCTGTTTAAGCTCCTGTGTGTGTGTGTGTGTGTTTCTTTGGCCCAGGCTGGCCTTGAACTCACTACATTTTAGACCAGTGGCTCTTACCCTTTCTAATGCTGTGATCCTTTAATTCAGTTCCTGATATTGTGGTGATCCTTGATCGTGAAATTATTTTCGTTGCTACTTCGTAACTGTAATTCTGCTACTGTTATGAATTGTAATGTAAATACTCGATATGCAGGATATCTGGTATGCCACCTTATGAAGGATCATTTGATACTCCCTCCCCTCCTGTGACTCAGAAGTTGAGACCCATTGTTGTAGAGGCTGACCTTGAACTCCTGATCCTCCTGCCTTTGATACTGAAGTGCTGGGAGTGGGTTACCACGCCCAACTCCTCCATTTCATATGGCCTACTTTAGAAGTCCTCCATACTATGGAAGGATGTAAAGGAGTGAAGCCGAACCCACACGCAATGGAGCTTTAACTAAGCCTGGCGTGCCCTCTGCTGGCCGGAGTTGGGATGACTCTGCTGATGCCTGTGCCTGTCTAGTTGGTTGTGAAGAAATAATTGCATACTTCACATTGGTAACATATTTTTAATGGACTGATTTTATGTTTTAAGATTTTTTGGGGGGTGCTCTGGAGAGATATCCCAGCTGGAAAAGGTGCTTGACACTCAGTACGTCAATTTAAGTTGAAAGAGAGAACAGACTCCTGCGATTTGTCTTCTGACTTTTACATATGATCTCTCTCTGTCTTTTGTCTGTCTGTCTGTCTGCCTCCCTGTCTGTATCATACACACATGCAAATACATGTAATTTAAAACTTTCAGTTTGGAGCTGGAGAGATGGCTCAGTGGTTCAGGACACTGACTTGTCTTCCAGAGGACCTGGGTTCAAATCCCTGCACCCACATGGCAGCTCACAGCTGTTCATAACTCCAAGATCTGACACTGTCACATAGACATACATGCAGGCAAAGCACCAATGCATATAGAATAAAGGTAGATGAATTAAAAAAATTCCAATTTTCTTTTAAATGAGTATTCTTATTTTGCATCTATGGGTGTTTGGCCTGCATGGATGTTTGTGTTCTATGTTCATCAGTGCCTGTGAAGTCAGGAGAGCGTGACAGACCTCTTGGAACTGGAGTTACAAAAGATCGTGCGTGCTGGGGAGTGAACCTGGGTCCTTAGCAAGACCAGCCCATGTTCTTAATCTCCAGCTTTCCAGCCATGTGTGTGTGTGTGTACATAAAAGAGAGAGAGAGAGAGAGGGAGAGGGAGAGGGAGAGGGAGAGAGAGAGAGGGGAAGCCCAGGCTGGCTTGTAACTTTTTTTTTTTTTAAATTTTGTTTTTTCGAGACAGGGTTTCTTTGTATAGCCCTGGCTGTCCTGGAACTCACTCTGTAGACCAGGCTGGCCTCGAACTCAGAAATGAGTCCGCCTGCCTCTGCCTCCCAAGTGCTGGGATTAAAGGCGTGCGCCACCACTGCCCGGCAGCCTGTAACTCTTGATCCCCCAATTTCTACCTCCTGAGTGCTAGGATTTTGGTCATGCACCATCACCCCTGGGTTCATTTTACATTTTAGTAAATTCACTGACATATTATATGCCAAGAAGTCTTGGGCTAGAGAGATGGCTCAGCGGTTACGAGCCCTGACTGCTCTTCCAGAGGTCCTGAGTTCAATTCCCAGCAACCACATGGTGGCTCACAACCATCTGTAATGGGATCTGATGTCCTCTTCTGGTGTGTCTGAAGACAGCAACAGTGTACTTGCATATATTTTAAAAAAAATCTTTAAAAAAAAAGTCTTGGCCGGGCAGTGGTGGCACATGCCTTTAATCCCAGCACTTGGGAGGCAGAGGCAGGTGGATTTCTGAGTTCGAGGCCAGCCTGGTCTACAGAGTGAGTTCCAGGACAGCCAGGGCTACACAGAGAAACCTTGTCTCGAAAAACCAAAAAAAAAAAAAAAAAAGTCTTTCCAGGCTTTCCTGTCTTGTATTTAACGTCACCATTCTCTCTGAGGAAATTGTCCTTGCCGTCCTGTCTGAACCCTTTGAGAAGAAGTGGTGAACACCACCTTGATTCTTTTTTTAAAAAAATTTTTAATTTTTGAGACAGCTTCACTGTGTAGTCCTGGATGTCCTGGAACTTGTTCTGTAAACCAGGCTGGCCTGGGATTAAAGGTGTACACTATCATGCCCGGATGAAAAAAAACTACATTGTATTTATTCATTTCCTTTACACACATGCATCCACTCACACTTGTATACACACACACAACACACACATACACAGACACACACACGGAGGTCAGAGGACAACTCTCAGAAGGTGGTTTTCTCCTTCCGCTGTGTGGGTCCCAGGGATCCAACTTACCCCTTCAGACTTGGCGTCAGGCAGATCACCAGGTGAAGAGTTTCACCAGCTTCTGAATGCTTTCATGTGCAACTCTCATGAAGAAGGACACTTTCCTAAGGTAACCAGAAGCCAACAGTACTGTCACTGTCATTCCTTTGCTGGGTGCCCTTAAATTCGTTTTATTGGTCTCACTTTCCAGTGAATGCTTGTCCTAGTTAAGGTTACTATTGCTGAGATGAAACACCATGACCAGAGCAAGTTGGGGAGGAAAGGGTTTATTTCAGCTTATGCTTCTAGGTAACTGTCCATCACTGAGGGGAGTCAGGGCAGGGACTCAAAACAGGGCAGGAGTCTGAGGGCGGAAGAGCTGATGCAGAGGCCATGGAGGAGCGCTGCTTACTGTCATGTGCCCCACGGCTTGCTCAGCAAGCCTACGGAATCCTGAACTACCTACCCAGGGATGCCCCCACCCACAACGACCCCTCCCCATCAGGCACTAATTAAAAAATATGGCCTACAGCCTGATCTTACAGAAGCATTTTCTCAATTGATGTTTCCCTCTTTTCAGATACCGCTAGTTTTGTGACGGAAAACTAGCCAGCACGGTGATGAAGAAAGAGACTCATCAGTGCACAGATTGCTGAGAATAAATGATGCTGGAATGTTCAGCCCCAAACGAGGCGTTTGTAACCCACCACAAGACCTTGGAAACCCTGCTGCTTTGGAAAGAACTTAAGACCGGAAGACGGGAAGAAGGGCTGTAAAGTGTGAAATGCCATCTACTGGCTATGTCGTGTCATTGCAATCATGAACCCCTCTAGGCTCCAGATGATCCCAAGCCAATTGGTTAAAGGGAACAAGTCACAGAACACAACCTAAGGTCCTGAGTCTGAGTCAGGGGTTTGAGAGGGATCGGAAGGAGATAAGGGGTGAGGGAGAGGATAACCAGAATACATTGTACATATGCACGAAAGTGTCAAAGAGGTAACTACTAAAGCACATTACACAAACGAACGGTTTGCTCCACTGTCCAGCTTCTGTTCATCCTAACAGAAGGGTGGACGATGTCTGCTTGTTTAAACCCAGTTCGGCTTTCACGGCCTCCTGCTCTTGATCATCAATTTCTTGTGTTCTAGAACTTCCTTCTGTTTTGTTTTCTCACAATTGGCACCAAAAAGCTTCTTTCAGTTTGTGTTTTCTTTATTGCTGAAGCTCTTGCCTGTCTGTGGAATATGCTCTCCTAACTGGGCTGCCTTGTCTGGACTCAGTGGGAGAGGGTGAGCGGAGCACTGCGGAGACTTGATGACCCAGGGTTGGGAGATGGTGGGGAGAGAGGCTCCACACTCTCAGAGGAGAAGTGGAGGGTCATGGGAGAGGGACAGTGTGTGTGGGGATGGGGGTATCCATCGATCAGAATGTAAAGTGGATTAAAAAATGCTAAAAAAAATCTGAGAAAATTAAAAAACCAAGTTCATTTCAGAGCAGTGCAGCCAGGGTGGTCCCACCTGGGCACAGACTTCACAGATGAGTTCAGGAGATCTGTTTCTCACAGGTGGTCATGCAATTGTTTCTTGGAAACAATTGACTTCAGCAATCCTTGGAGGTCCAAATCCACTGATGCCCAAGGCCAAAAGATACTATGCAGTGTTTGTTTCTGACCAGTAGTGCTGGTTTTCTCTTTCTTTCTTTCTTTCTTTCTTTCTTTCTTTCTTTCTTTCTTTCTTTCTTTCTTTCTTCCTTTCTTCCTCTCTCTCTCTCTCTCTCTCTCTCTCTCTCTCTCTCTCTCTCACTTTCTTCTCCTTCTCCTTCCCCGACCCCACCCTGTCAATTTAATACAGGCTAGGATCATCCGGGAAGAGGGACTGTGCATTGAGACCATGCCCTCATCAGATGGCCTGTAAGCAAACACATTGTATGAAATTCTAAAAGAATTAATAAAAATTTAAAAAATAAAAAAAAAAATTAAAGAAGAGGTTCATGTAGCCCAGGTTGGCTCCAAACTTTCTGTGTAGCTGAGGATGGCTTTGAGTTTGTGATCCTCCTGCCTCCACCTCCCAAGTGGTGGGATTACAGGTGAGTACAACTATGCCGGGTTTCATGCCATACTGAGGGCCAAACCCAGGGCCTTGTGCATGCTAGGCAAGCATGTCGTCAACTACACTACATCCTTAGCTTCATTCATTATTTTCTTTATGAGTCTCATGCTGGCCTTGAACTCCTGAAGCTCCTGTCTCATCTTCCAAATGCTAGGATGACAGTAGTAATTCATAACGAAGGGCATGATTTTGAAAAAAAAAAGCTTGTTTTTAAAATTATGTGTATGTGTATGAGGTACGCACTTGTGCATGCAGGAGTCTAGGAGAGGCCATTGGATCCCTTGAGCTGGAGTTACAAATAGTCATCTAATGTAGATGCTGAGGCTCGAACCCAGGTCCTCTGGAAGAGCAGCCAGGGCTCTCAACCATTGAGCCATCTCTCCAGCTCTCAGTCTTATTATACAAAATTTAAAAATTCATCTATCTATCTATCTATCTATCTATCTATCTATCTCCTTTGAGTTTGTGATCCTCCTGCCTCCACCTCCCAAGTGGTGAGGACAACTCTGACAGGTTTCATGCCATACTGAGGTTAGGGTTTTATTAGGGTTTTATTGCTGTGAAGAGACACCATGACCAAGGGCTGCCTTAGAGTTTCAGAGGTTTAGTCCATTATCATCATGGCAGAAAGCATGACAGTGTCCAGGCAGACATGGTGCTGGAGAAGGAGCTGAGAGTTCTGTATCTTGGTCTGAAGGCATCTGAGAGAGACTCTCATTCTACACTGGGCAGAGTCTGAGCATAGGAGGCCTCAAAGCCCGCCCCCACAGTGACTCACTTCCTCCAACAAGGACATACCTACTCTAGTAAGGCCACACTTCCTTTTTCTTTTCTTTCTTTTCTTTTCTTTTATTTTTTGGTTTTTCAAGACAGAGTTTCTCTGTGTAGCTCTGGTTGTCCTGGAACTCATTCTGTAGACCAGGCTGGCCTCGAACTCAGAAATCTGCCTGCCTCTGCCTCCCAAGTGCTGGGATTAAAGGCGTGTGCCACCACCGCCCAGCAAGGTCACACTTCCTAATAGTGTCATTTTCCATGGGCCAAGCATATTCAAATCAACATATGCACACACACACACACTCACATTGTTTTTTTTTTTTTTGAGATAGGGTTTCCTCTGCATAACCTTGACTGTCCTGGAACTCACTCTATAGACCAGGCTGGCCTCTAACTCAGAGATGCACCTTCTTCTGTCTCCCAAGTCCTGGGATTAAAGGTGTATACCACTACCACACAGTTATACAATGTATTTTTATGGTATTCACCCCTATATTGTGGGTCTGTGTTCCATCTCACCACTGGGGAGGTGAAACTCGGGGAGTGCTTGACTGCATCTCCCTGTATTGTTGCTGCTGTCAGGTGCTGGGCTTTAGGGAAGTGCCAAGACAATGCTCAAGGGATAGGAAGACACAGTCTTAGATGGGGAAAGCCAAAATTGGGGTTCCCTGATCCCTGGGCACTCAGTCACCACTGGAATGCCACACAGAAGAGTCAGGAACTAAAAATCTGGGGTCCATGGGAGGCCAGGACTGTTGGGGGTCTGCAGGCTGAGGACAATAACAAACCCAGTGCAGGGGAAATGGGGAGCTCTGGCTTAGCTCATTGGTGAAGGTAGGTTGTCTGGAAGCTCAGATTCTATGGGAGACTTAGGCTGTGGCTCTGTGGGTGAAGGCCTTCTCCATGTTCCCCACTGTGGCGGTTTCAATGGAAGAGGCAGTCCATGTTTATCCATTCTATTATTGACTATTGGTGAAAAATGCATGTGTACCTGTTGAGGGCCGTCAGCCACAGTCGACCGGGTTCACCTGAAAGAGAGGCTGGGAAGGGACAGGAGGGCGGGAAGAGATGAAGCCAGGACAAAGGTTTCTGATCAAGGCTCAATGCTTTAATGTTCAGCTTCTAATTTAAAGGGGATAACCCACCCCAACCCCCAGAGTTCCTTCTTGCTTCAGCCGGCTGGGGGTGAGCTGAATCCATCCTGCTGGAAGTGAGAGGAATCCATACCGGAGATGTCTCAAGCAAGCTCAGCAGGCAGTCTATTCTTTTCAGCTTGTGTACCAGGCTACAGGGCAGCCAAGGAGGCACCAAGGCCGGCAATGCCAAGGCAGGCAATGCCTCCAGAATCCTATTGTTTGGTCTATTGTGGTAAACAAGGTCTCTCAGGCCCGTTCAAGGCTGGGGGAAGGGCACATGTACCAACTTTTTAGGGTGGACCAGAGATTAAATACCTTTTGCAGGGAGGAATGTCCAGGAAGGAAAGCTTATTGGCTAAGTCCTCAGGGCCTCTAGGTACCTCATTAGCACAAAGAACTCTGTTCTGGGACTGCGTGACCACAGGTCACGTTTCCTTATGTGGGAAGTGTGGCAGATGTTCCAGGCCAGGAATCTGGCAGGGAGCAGGGAGGTGCCTACTGTCTTAGTTGTATACCTGAGTGCTGGGCCCTCAGACTTGCTCTGCCTTACCACGTTTCCTGGTGTGGTCAACTGTCCCACACTGCATCTTCTTCTAACCTCTCCTAGATGCATCTGTGCTGGGGACAGCACACCATGACAGGGACTGCCCACAGCAGTGAGGGATGGAAACATCTCGGAAGACCTTGGTAGCTCCTTGTAAAAAAGAATCATGTCTGGGTCCCTGAGAAGCAGGAGACATATCCCTCCAGGGGACCCACCATCTGAAATAATGGACTGCCTACAGTAGGCCAGGATGGAAACATCTCAGTAACCTGTGGAAGTGCTTTGTAAAACAAATGAACAAACAAACAAACAAAAAACAGTTGTTCTCATTTCTCCTAACCTTAGGCCTGGACAACAGCTGTATAGATTTTATTTATGACTGCTTTTCAGTTGGCCTTGGTGTGCATAATTATTATATCTGACTTTCCTATTCCCTTCTCCTTCTGCTCTGGTGAATTCTGTGAAACTAGATGTTCCTTGATGTAATGATTCTTTTTTTTTTTTTTTTTTTTTTTTTTTTTTTTTTTTTTTTTTTTTTTGGTTTTTCGAGACAGGGTTTCTCTGTGTAGCCCTGGCTGTCCTGGAACTCACTCTGTAGACCAGGCTGGCCTCAAACTCAGAAATCCACCTGCCTCTGCCTCCCAAGTGCTGGGATTAAAGGTGTGCACCACCACTGCCTGGCGATGTAATGACTCTTAAACAATCAAAAATTGAGGCATAGAGGCACAGCACAGCACAGTCCTAATGGTCCAGGTGCATGCTGTGTGCTCTCATCTTGGAAACAATGCAATAACTACACAGTGGTAGTTTCAGATTAATGTTTGACTTGCAAAGAAAGTTTTAAGAAATATTAAAAAACGAAGTAGAGATAACATTGGGACCCCAAGAAAGGAAAAAGCTATTGAAGTTATGAAATGAGTTTTGCAGAACATTTGAGAGTGGCCAATGGTCTCCTTTGAACATGTATGAAAAAGCAAGTATAGGATACATAAAATTATATGCTAGTAGAATTAAGTCAAAACACTGGGACTCTTAGGAGAATCATTGTGTGCAATGTACAGAAGCAGAAAGCTAGTGGAACTGCTGAGTTAAGGGTTAACTTGATTCTTTCTGGCCACTGCCCGGCAGCTTTGCCCATGTCATTTATCATTAGAGCTTCACAGGAAAATGCAAGTAGCTGGCCTTGGAGCTCTGAGCTCTGAAGTATAGTAAGTGAAATGTTAAAGTTAAATAATGATAAGTTTGCAATTATTATTATTTTGGCCACAGGCTTGGGAACAGGGAAACTTTGGGGAACAACTGTAATTTTGATTCTTTGTAGGATGTGGTTATTCTTTTGAATTTGGTTTGGCAATGATTATACAATGTCTTTTTTTCTACCTGCTTTTGGAGTAACAGTAAAAGACTGGGGCAAGTTAAAGGCAAAAAAAAAAGAGTGTGAAGA